AAAAAAAAAAAAAAAAAAAAAAACCCAAAAAATTGCGAAAATAAACTATGCTATGCAAAAAGTGCCAGAAACATAAACTGAACAACTTTTGCCACAGGGTCACATCGAAATTCTTTACCGAACTTAAAATAAAAAATAAAGTTAAAAATATCGATGAAACTCCGACGAAACAGTTTGTCACAGCCCCTCGTTTGTTGTCCTCTTCTCTCTCTCTGCCTACGGTTTTACCGGGCAGTTCTGTTTGTGACAATATATATATTATTTATTTGGCCCGGCCGGACAAGTGGCCCCGGGCCACTCTGGTAGCCTATATATATATGACGCTCTCGTCCTGCCCCTGCTTGCTCATCTGCTGCCACTGCAGTTTCCACTGCTGCAATCCCCACTCCTGCAGTTTCCACTGCTGCAGTGTCCATTGTTGCGGTTTCCACGGCTGCAGTCGCCACTCCTGCAGTTAGCACTCCTGGGGCGAGGTCCGATTAGCAGTCGGATAGGAGTGTGGCCGATCCAGTGTGACACTGAGTGGCAGCGGCCAGACAGGTTCATTACGAATTTCTGGGCTGAGAAAATAGGAGAGGCAAAAAAAAAAAAAAAACCAGAGACCTCCCACCGAAAATCACGGCAGAGTGCTTCCCAGCCATCAGATCATTTGTGATCTGATGGTGGTGATTGCAATAATAGTGAACAAAGTAACCGCCACATTTTCTGGAATAAACTTGACTTCTGTCAGCATTGATCCTGACACCCTCCATATACTCCGTGATTGAAGGAGGGCTCCACCCAATGACATAATTGCACAACAGCAAGTAAACTACTGAAAATCTTCTATCCAGTGGATCTAAGGCCAACCCCACCCTCCTTTGGGGTTGGCCACACCCCCAACCGATTGAAAAGATTCTGGCGGTAAGCTGTCTTTGCATGGGCATGCCCAGTGTTAAGGAGAGGAGGAGGGGAACAAAGATCTCCTTAGTTTTTCAGGTAATACATGTAAAATACTGACCGTGGGATCACGAGTACTACACGACAGGATTTGGGTAACTCAACTGCCCCACAAACTCGTTTCTATCCTATCCTGTTGCTAGTGGGACCTCGCCCCTGCAGTGTCCACTGTTGCGGTTTCCACTGTTGCAGTGTCCACGGCTGCAGTCCCCACTGCTCCAGTTTCCACTGCTCCAATTCCCACTGCTGCAGTTCCTACTGCTGCGGTTTCCATTGCTGCAGTTTTCAGCACAGTAGTTTCCATAACTGTAAATCCCCCTAGTGTAGTTTTTACTGCTACAGCTTCCTCTCCTGCAGCTCCAGTGCAAAGAACATCACAGTCTGTTTGTCACTCACGTCCTTTATTCCGAAAGCTTGCCCAATCCACTCCCCTCTTATCTCTTTATGTGCTTGGCCACAGACGGCTACGTTCCTCCTCACCACCCCCATCTCCTCCACTGTCTCGCTTGCGAATAGACTCTCCAGTTTCCATTGTTCCCATTGTTCCGCCTTCGTTGCTAGGGACAAGTTCATGTTCTGTTTGCAACACGACTACTCCTCTTGTTGTGTATCGCCGACAACATCCGCGGCATCGTCACTTGTCTGGGGATCAGCAACCTGTTTCTTTGTCTGCCTCGATTCTCTCTGTGCCTCCTCCACAGGTTGTTGTGGTTCCTTTGTTTCAAACGACAATATCCGCTCCTATGCCTCCTGCAGACAGTCCAGCTGCCTGTAGGCAGCCATGACACCATGTTTTATACCTTGCGGAGTTAGATATTCACGACTCACTTGTACAACACGATGTG